CATTTGATCTTAAACGGATGCCTTCCGGAATATGTTGGATGGCGTCCTACATGCTGAAAAAATAGTTATTCCACATGTGGCGATCGAACGTCTGATAACTTACAGTGGCGTTGAAGGTTTTCCCTAAAGCATCGCTCCCCTTTCGTTTGGCATAAGAACACTTTCTTTTGCCGGCTTAATGATATTTATATTCCGCGTATGTCTTAAATCCAGCTAGGTGAATAGTAGAAATAATCCACTCACTCGGCGAGTTCAACAGTTTATTGCCACGCAGTGTAGAAGTGAATCCCGTTACGGGACCACCGATTGTGTTCAATTCAAAACTTCACATTTTACTAGTGTTCCGCGCTGAAATCTCTTGTAAATTTGCGCTAGTATTTCCAACATACTCGTATGCATCTGTATCCAGTGTCATATAGTTGTTCATCTCTCTTGCGCAGCCTCACATTTCAAAAAGTTATCGATCGAATTTTTCCTGAGGCATTGTGTAGATCTAAAACCAAGTGAAACACACCTACTTTGAGACGATCTGGGCAGACGAGTAAAGTGTTTTTACCCAAAAAGCGTAGCAGTCAAACAACAGGTTGGTTTCCTTGCCCAACTGAGCCCCGACCTTTGTAGATGCTTCAGGCGGACAAGTTGATGATAGTAAGGATTGCTCTTGTAGGCATCTTTGCTCATGAGTCGTACATTGCCTGAGCATCCTACGTTGCAGATATCAGTCCGAACAACATGCAGAACATGGCTGGACGTGGTATGGTTTAGGCGTCGTCTAGGGGGGGGGGAGATAATAATTATGGTCAAGTTGAATAAATATCAGGGACAAAATTACTCGCTTTTCGTGTCGGTTTAAAACATCTGTCAAAGTGAACGAAAGCACCATATTTTTGTCCGATTGAAGATCGGTATCAAACCGAGCTCCGGTGCGAGATAGCTGCCAAGATTGCTCAGAAACGTATTGATGTATGTTTTGAGAAGGTCGCGTTAAGATGCGTGTTGGCAGCCTAAAATCAGTCGATAAAGACGCCATAAACCATGGGAGCAGTTTCTGGAGGATATATCCGTCTATAAGCAGTCCGACTCCTTTTAAAGAGAGATTCTTCAGCATCTTGGGATTGTTGTTTGTATCTCTTATCTTACCAATCGTAGCATATCCAAGTATTTCATGAATTCCCACGATAACCCTACGGAGATCTCATATTATTCTTTTGTTCTGGTACCTCCGTGATGGCGAGTCCCAAAGTGACAGGATTTACGGCGAAGATAAATTTCTATATCTATATTTACGTAAAAAATGAGATATGTTCTTTCAAGCTAGTATTCCTCTGCTTCGTCTCCTATATGAGTGTATCTCAAAATGTGCTGGATGCTATTTGGCAATCTGTCTTCCTCCACTGGAATTCCACACAAAACTCGGTGTCCACATATAGGATTAGCGCCACGGGATTTGGAAGACAAATTTGTTGCTGATAAAGGATTTCGCAACCAGGGAAAACCAAAATCTAATTCTGTTTCAAAAGTAGCTTCATATGAAAACTGTTGTTGGGCCTCCTACATCACGGGAAGGCAGGTTACTCAGGGGTGTGCTGCAAAGTCGTTACATTCCGATTTATTTGTAACTGAGCGTAAGTCTCCATAAGTGCTCAGCCTACAAACGGAAGATAAGGATTGCCTAAATGAGGCTGGGCACAACCGCATTTTATTCTACCGACTATCGGCCATACAGACGCCTAAATGACTAGGTACTGACATCTTTTGTTTGAAAACGAAATTTGAAACGAAAGTATTCTGATAGTTTTTGGGCAAACGCTATGGAGATGCAGTGCGCTCATCCTTGCTGCATTAGGATTGGTTTACTGTAGAGAAAGATAAAGCAAATCTTTCATATAAGATCAAACGACTGCTGGGAAACACTACCTCCTCTGTATAGTTATCGTGGAGATGCATGCGCTCATCCTTGCTGCATTAGGATTGGTTTACTGTAGAGAAAGATAAAGCAAATCTTTCATATAAGATCAAACGACTGCTGGGAAACACTACCTCCTCTGTATAGTTATCGAGAAGTGTCATGAATCCATTTTGCTAGAAGTAGATCAGTGTTTGGAATGCGAGATTACTGATCGTGGTTTGAACCCAATCTTGGTATCTGGACCGGTACTGTGTAAGTTTGCTCAACCTGATAGATTCTGTACCTTCGTGCCCCCTGTAGGCGTTGTGACAGCTAGGCACCGAAGCGGTTTAGTTTATGGATCCTTTTTGACGGTTTATGCTGAATTTGGCCCAAAGCTCTCCAATTACAGTGAGACAAATCAAAAGATCGAAAACAAAATTGTCACAAATAATACTAGTTTCACTTTTTTTTCTCCGAACAGGATCGTATTCTTCTAATGACGGCTACAGGACCTCAACAAGTGAGTTCGCACATCAAGAAGACGGTCAGCAATTTGTTTTTATCTTGGTTAAAATATTTTCAATGAAATAATGAGAAAGACAACTGATTTGTCAAGCGTCCGCCCAACTGTTTAGTTACCAAGCAACAAAACGCTTTGTTTGCTTTGAAAATTCTGGTGCAGTGGGAGACTTTTGCTACTCAGTTTCCCAAAAAGATAACCAGACTTACTACAACTTTAAAAGAGAGTAATCAGTAATGATGAATTAGAGATGTGTGTAAAATTTGGACTAACAAAGTTTCTGGTAGAGTCACTGGTCCGATGACTACAGTGAACTTAATACATGCATTCGAGTGACGGCTCATTAGTGCTAGTCAGTTAAATCAGGAATCCCATAAAACCTGCTCAAAATATCACACCTTCACTTTTCCACCTGGTCTTTACCTTAGTGAAAGAAAACGCTCTGCTAAACTGTTCCTTAACTGGTTGGTTTTTCTACCACATAACAGGTGACGATGCCGGGAATACGGATGTAACATTCTTCACCTATCTCAATATTTTGGTATCCTTAGGCGGTGTTAACTAAGAAATGTGCCGTTTGTTTCTCTTAACGTCTGGAGTGAAGGCATTTGAACACCAACTGGAGCAACGAAAATTGATTTTTCATCCGATATAATCATTACAGCCATCATGACAAACAACTTGCTGGATCAAAGTAAACACAAGAGGAACTTAGTTACATATTGAGACGACATAACGTGTCATCACTCCTCCTTTTCACCGGGTGAACAACATAGACTATAACAATATTTCATATCTCCCAATCAGAAAAAGTGTATTCTAGCAAATCTCGTACCCGATTACGTAAATACCTTATAGTGGTACCTATTTCCACACTTTCAGGTGGACCAGACACGAGCTATTACAATTCATACAACAGTGGATACGGTACGCTGCCTATAGTTCATGATTAAAAAGTGGTTGGCTCATCTAATTTGAATTTGACCAAAAAGCTTGGCAACTTATTCAAAACGCGGTGAGGGACGATTTCTGTTCGAATGAGTCTTGTATGATCTCAACCTGGCTGTGAATAGGCTATATAGTTGCATTTACGTTTTTTGTTTTGAGCTTGACCGTATGTCGCTGGTGGGACAGATAATGCACAGTCCAAATACCTTTCAATGGTCTGTCCTGCTACACTAGTTCCACATATTCTAGTGTGCAGCCATTTTTTTCACCGAAGAACTTTACACCGGAGAACTTCACCGCAGAACTTCACAGTCGCTGCTGAAAATTTGGTTTTCCGGTCGAATCATTTAAACCAGGTTGCTTGTCGGAAAAACAAATTTACTGAGTCGATTTGACCAATGTAAAAATTTTAAAAAATTCCGGCAACGTGTCTGGAAGTGCGTCTACATCTTTTAAGTAATCCGCGGTCAGCATGGCACATGAATCATTCTAACATCAGATATAATTCGACCAGAGAGAAAAGCAGCTCCCAAAAACAAAATGACGCCAACCTCATTGTTACGAAATTGTAACAGAATGCCGATTTAGCTCCCTGAGAGGTTTTCAGTAGACCCAGCAAGTTAGTGTTTGTCCATCATATTAACTATTTCACTTAGGGTATCAGTCAGTCAAGAAAATTAACGCTCTGAAGATCAAGTGAAGGTTACAATAGTGGTCCCCCGTATTAACCAAGTAGATACTCACTGTTGGAATGATCTGTGTGAAATTACTGAAGGACGCCACAAATGAGCACGAGTGTCACTAGTTTCGCATCAAAATTCAAAGCGCCGAATGGCGGAACATTTCAATATGTTGGCCCTCTCGAATGAATTTCCCTTGGAAGGTACTGTTGTCCTTGGTTGATTTTCTAGAACGTACGATGCTTTATCAAACATGGACTGATTTTTTTATGAAGAATTATCTGCCGTCCTTATGAGCTGTCGCTTACAGAGAAAATAGAAGGAGAAAGTAGCTCCTTAGATCAACCGCTTATTTAGGCTAGTTTTACATACACAAAGACTAGGAGTTTACATTTGTTTTCAGAGTACGCTTGCACTAGACTCACACCAAAACAGCTGAAATAAAATCACTGCAGTAATTCACACCCTTCAAAAATGAAGACTGAACGATTGTTTCTGTTGAAACAAACGAACCTTGGGCGAACTTGAACAGAATGAGTTAGGCGTTAAATTCAACGAAGACATTGTGGCTCTGGACACATAAACCATATCGGACGATCGGTTTCAGTGAAGTCAACCCCTAGCGTTCTAACATGTAATAGTATATCGGTCAGTTAATACTCCGAAATTGAGCGTTTTGATCGGTTTATATTTATTTTCTGATCCATTCGGCCTATAGACTACTCCTCACTTGTACACAAGGCAAGACGTATTGGCTTTGCTACTCCAAACAAACGGACTGTCACGGATAGTTTATCGAATTATCCAACATTAAATGAGCGGGTCAAGCATTGTAGTGTGTACTCTGAGCCTGCGCAAAAGTACCACTGCATATTTCCTCTAGTATGTGTCATATAACTTCAAAATGATTGCCTTTACAGGAGGCTACAATAACCAATATTACAACTACGGTAAGTCTTGTTGACATTTTCTCAGTCAATATTTCAACATATTTCAACATATCTATAACGTCGCGGAAGCTAATTGATGCAGAGAGAACCCCTCTGAATAATGTAGGACTCTTGTAGATGCGTGATGGTTACAAGGATCGGTTTGTCCTCACTACGTTTTTTTAGCTCTCGTCTAGGAGGTAGGCTGAAGCACAGCCTTTATTGTTGTACTTCGAGTTGGAGCTGTGTAGAAATGGATGCTTCGTGTTTATATTGAGGGTGAGATGGGAGGGGAAAAGAAAAGTGAACCCACGCTTCAGGACTAGGAGTTCCAGACACGGATGTTTTATGGTCAACAGCGAGAATAGAGATCAAAATGATTCAGCGATAATCAAAAAGTGGTTGTGCCACTAACCACAACCACTAACCCACCACTACGCACCACTAAGCTCCTCAGTAACGCATTGATGATGTCACCTTGACTGGTGATGAAAAGTTTGCAATCGGCGAACAAACCAACGACCATCTACGCTACCGACATTTTCCTCTATAGTTCCATAAGTTCATTGCCGTTTTGGAGATTACTGCTCAAGAAAGGCCAATTTAAAAATTGATTTCAAGTATCTATCAAACGAAGCCATTTACCCCGTAGAATTTGTACGTCAATAGCACCAAAATATGTGTAGGTCACATAGAAGTATGTTTGTTCTTTTTTTAGTGCAGCCGGATAACTGACTAATTTTCCTTGTCTTTATTTTTTTTCTCAGGCTACGGTGGAAACGGTGAACTACCCCCCCTTGTTTACCCGGGTTAGATGAACCTGGAGGCGAATGATGTTACATGATTAATTGATCGCAAGCCATGTGATCTTTTCAGTTTTCTCCAATAAATTTTCACTAAAGACTTGCAGTACTGTTTTTGCATTGGTTCAGACGTGGTTTACTCGTTTTTAAGACTCATGGCGCACACG